ACTGATCTAGTAATTATCTTTTAAACACAATTTATTGATTTTAAAACTTAATGCTGTGTTCCTAATCGGTGTTGAGTATGGCTAAAATGTAATTAATGAATACCAAATATTTTACTGACACCAGAGTTAAATTGTATTTTATGTGTGTGATAAAGCAAAGCGCTTTATGGCTGAGCAATTGTTAGGAAATCGATTTGTGTAAGTTGTAGAATTCACACTTGGTTTTGGTAGAAACAAGTTTTTCAAAATCCAATTAGGCTGATTTTTAAAATATTTCTTATTCTATAGAGTGTATCTCCATGGTGTCATTCTCTATGTCTCTCTGACCCTCTTTCATTTAACTACTCAATAGTAAATCATGGGATGCAGGCTGATGAATAACTAATGTCTTGTGTAGAACTAAATGAGAGTAAGAAGAACCCACTCTTCTGGTGAACATGGCAATTTTTCAGTAATAGTAGCCTTGATTAAAAGGCTATTTTAAGACAGCTGTGTACTATGAATATTCAACTTCATTGATTTGCCTTGCTTAGCATTTCAATCCCTGTCTTGCCATGAAACTTAGTATTGCACTGTACACATTGTAGAATAATGTCAAGAGTGTTCTTTAGTACTGAAAATAACCAACAGAGAATACCAAGGCAATATGTTGATTTCTCCTGATATAGAAAAATTTGGTATTTCAGTGATGGCTACTTTGGTCTTTGATTTACTTCTCTGGTAATTCTGCTAGAGAGACGGCTTAGAGTCTAGAATACTTTTTATAGAGATTACGATGACCTTGGTAGTTTTCCCATCAAGTGATCTTGTGGTTAAATTATTGGGTGTAATGAGACCCTTAGTTAGAAAATCTTTTTACTTTCTTTCACTTTTCTATTATTTAGTCTTGATTTTTGACAACCATTCTCTGAAAATTAGTCATGGTTTTCAATGAAATTGGAGATTCCATTTCTAAGTTTTTAAATGTAACATTTTTCATTTTTTATAAATTAATATACAGGGAAAGAATTAGAGGCAAACATTGTTTTTATAGCTTATTTAAGAATTCTTATTCTAAATATAGAATAGCTAGCTCCATGACATGCCCCCCCCTTTTTTTTTGCCTATGGAATGCTGTTGTATGACTTAGAATCTCAGTCATTCTCATAAACACGATCATTTTTGATAGAGGTCTTTCTTTGACATGATCTCAAAGTAGAGTTGGGCAATCTAATGAACTACTTTAATAAAACATAATTTAGCATTTCTGTAAAGTATTTTCAAAAGATAACCAGATTTACTTGTAGGATTAGAGATACAAATACCAATGGTAGTATTTTGCCTAAGAACAATCACATATTAATCTATAAATATGGAAAGTTGTCTTGTTGTACTTAATTCTGTTGCAACAAAGAGCAAGTTTTTGTTGTTTGTTTAAAAGTATTTCCTTTACAGAGATCAAAATGCCCTAAGAATTTACATCCCTTATAAGGTCACTTGGGTTTTCAAATAGGAAGAATAAGCTGGACTTAACATAAGGAAATTTTTATCTCCATTAAAAGAAGTTATTAATTGTACTGGGCCACCATGAATCATTCATTTGTTAGACATGGTAAATAAAATGGGAAGCATTTCAAATCATTAGATAAATTCTGACCTGGAATTGAATTCTCCCTTCCTTAAAATCTTACCTATTTGCTTTTTTCATAGACTCAGTATGGGCATCTTAACTGACAAGGGAGAGTGATTCTTGATCTGGAGCCATTCCCTGCCATTCTGCTTTTTTTTTCATTCCTCTGTCAAGGTTGCTGACTTTAGAGTACATGTCACCAGGATGTATTTCAAGTTAGTGACATTGGAATGTTGATGCTCAGTTGGGTATCTTGATGTTTTCAACAAAATGGTTTTATAGTGTGCTTTTCTCAAAACTTCTGTGTTTTAATAATGAAAAATATAATAAATGGTGTGATTCAAAATATAAATAGGTTTTTGACACTAATCATATGCTCTTAACAATAGCTTTTTGATAATTTATTGCCCTGTAAGTTAAACCTCACATGGAGTGACCATTGCCACCAAAATAATCCCCTTTTACCTGCTAACTAGAATGATAGTATGTGACCTCCACTTTGTTAATGAATATCAAGCTTGTAGGGGCTGTTTATCTTATCTATTTAGGGGCTTTTGCGTTGTTACTTTCCTAGGTTTGTCCCTTTGATTTGGAAAGGCAATTTAAAACTTGCTGGGAAACAGCCAGTAAAGCTATGAGATAATCCTCTAGTCTTCGATACAGAGAAATGAGTACCAGTTGAGCTAACACGATACTTAGACTTTGAGGGGCTTCTAGCCAAGCTTTGGCATGAATCTGTTAGACATATTTTATTCACTCCTTTAAGAATCCTTTTTTCTAGAATGGTTTTCCTTTTGATTGTTAACTTCTAAGCCTCTGGTGTCTTTTTTTTTTAACCCTTCAAAAGACAAAGCCCTTTTTCAAGTAGATGTTGATTGTTCCATGGAAATTCTCAGGCTCTGTGTTTGTAGGCTCTGTGCATGCTTTGTATGAATTCAGTTTGAACAATGCGTTTTGAATCACCTGGATGTCCAATTCTGGCATGTCTTCCCTAATTGTATTTTTTAAACGTTTTTCATATCATTTTCCAAACCTCACTTCCCATCTTATTCAGAGAGGTTAATCAAGGAATGAAATTTGGGGATAGGGTTGGGGGTGGGTTGGGGACTTGAGTGAAGTCAACTTGGGGTATTTACTTTAAAGTGTTTCTCAAGCGGTTTCTAACGGTATTAGAGGTTCCCTGGGATGTTTGTGTATTCAGTTTATTCCAGATAAAGTGGTGGTCTTAGTGAGATTTGTATTCTTAATGCAGGACAGGCTCTAAATTTAATCTGTGGTGCAACTTTATTATTGAATCCAAGAAGATAATGGACTTAGACAGTGCTCCTATTGTACTGTTTCTGGCAAGTGCTCCCTAAAGTGCACACACATACAGTTCTCAGTTTTTGGGGCTTTAATTCCATGGTGCTAGGAGATATCATTTGTATCTGTAGCTCTTCTCAAGAATGGGAAGAAGGCTTTGGGACCGGTGAGAAAGGGGCAACTGGATCATCTACTAAATTTTTTTGTTCAAGACACACTAGAGACCCTCCTGTATATCGAGTAAGTGATAATAAAGGTGCTAGGGAAAGTCTTAAATTTGAATACATACGGAGGCTGTAGAAAATCTAAACTCATAGGAGGAGAAAAACTTGCCATTAGATAAAGCAGAGCTGTAACTGCTGGCTAAGACTCAATGGAACTTCCACTTGCTCTAAAACCAGGGAAATCTTAGATAACTGGGTGTGATATATCTATAGATACACATAGTCTATAGGTAAATAATTTCTAAAATGAGGATCTTTCTCTCAGTTGGTGATCCTCTGGTTTTGGCTGTACCAAATTGTGAATATTCTTGCTGTGTTGTACCCAGTTGCTTTATATTGATACTGCAACTTGAATTGGGGAGGGGGGCGGTGGGATATTTGGGGTGGGGGAGGGAGGGGAGTGGGACGATAAGTCTTTTGAAGACATCAGCTCACTGTGCTGAGAGAGGGACCAAACTCAAGGAAACCTCTGAACTATAATAAATTCAACTGCTGCATTTTTTTATAAATACATGTAAATGTCCTGTTGTAATATTTGATCTTGGAAATAAAATCAAAAACTTTTCGGTATTAGTTTTTTTGCATTATTGTTTTTGTGAGATAAGACTCTGGATGTTACTTTTGTTAATACAATTCAGGTTTCAGAAGCTTGCTGTCATATTCTCATATTTAGGGCACTATAGTATTTATTGACAAAGGTTAGTTCATAGTCTCTTTGTCAAGGGTAATGTTAGAATCTCTGCTCTTAGTTATATGTTGAACATTCATGGTAAGCGCTCTATAAATATTGGTGAAATTGTCATGGAATTAGTTAGCTAGCCTCGTCGGGAAAGTCAGATTCTTACATTTGACATATTGGAAGTTCAAGCAGTCTAGTCTTTCAAACCAGCAGTACTGGTTTGAAAATTAGCGTTAGCAGTCCTAATGACTAATTAAGGACTCAGCTTAAACAGGTGGAGGAAAAAAATTAATTGCTAAGTTATTGGGAGAAAAGCCAGGAGTTACAAGAGAGATCATGATGAGCAAAGCAGACCCGGCCCCTCCCCTTGAAGAACTTTCTTTTCAGTTAGGAACACAGACAATAAAAAAATGAAAAAATATAGATTTGATTCAAATACTATGAACAAAACTAGAGAAGAAGTCAACAGAATTCTGCTTTTAATAATATGCTGGGGAGTTAACATTTAGGCTGACACCTGGAGGATGAAAAGAAGGTAGCTCATGCCAAGGGCAGGAGGAAAACTTCCAAGCAGAACGACAAATGCAAAGGCTGTGGAGCAGGAAAGTTTTTGATGTATCTAAGGTATTGAAAGAAAGCCAATGTGTCTGGCATAGTGAGCAAAGGGAGTGCATAAAATGTGAGAGCCAGATCATACAACACTTTATTAGGCCCAGTAAGGAGTTCATACAGTGTTCATATAGAGTATAATGAGAAGCTATTATTATGTGGAGGGTGGATTAGAAGGGAGCAAGAGACTGACCAAGGTACAAAACGGAAGTTTCCTGGACCAGAGTAATGGAGTGGCAATGGACCTGGGAAGTATTGTATAGATTAGAGATGCGTTTTAAGGTAGAAATTTGAAGACTTAAGTTGGATTATATGTGGGACAATGAAGGAAAGAGAAATTAAGAATGATTCAAATTTCAGACAGTGGGTAAGTAGTGGTGTCACTCCTGAGGCAGGAAGACTGGCGGACCAAGCAGTTTGGTTGGGGGAGAAATCATTTTGGATGTGTTAATTGTGATACTTCCAAGTGCAGGTGTAGTATAGCAAATTGGACATGTGAATCTGAAGCTTGCAGGAAAGGTGAGCTGGAGTTAAGAGATCTGAGAAGTCATCAGTGTTATAGATGGAACTGAGTACCATGGGAAAGAATGAGGTCACTAGAGGAAAGTTAATGAAGAGGGCCCAGAACCCAGGCCTGGAGACCCCACATAAAGAAGCGCAGTCAAGGAGGAGCCAGTGAGGGAGAACCCCCAGACTGGGGTGTAAAGGGAGCCACGAGTGAGAATGTTCAAGAAGGACCTTGTGGCCAACTATGTCTAATTCTGCCTAGGGGTCAAATGTTCATTAGATACAAGAAATCACTGGAGACCAAGAACAGTTTCAGTGTGTTGTTGGAGCCGGAAGCCTAATTTAAGTGGGTTGAAGTTTATAGTATTTGTAAAAAGAAAACAACCCAGAACTTCCTCTTCAGTGGACTGGTATAAATGGCAACTCTTTCAACATCTCTTATCTTCCTTTTTTTCCTCTCTCTCCAATTAAGGAAAATGTGCTCTCTTGTTTAGTCAGCTGTCAGTTGAGGGTGAAGCCCACCCACAAGGAAGCTGATTTAGTCTGTCACTCTTATTTGAGAAAGACTGGCCTAACTGTCATCATCTTTTCCCTTTCCCTTCTACCAGTGAATTCCATTTTCTCAACTTCCTCTGTTCCTTGCTCACATCCCACCTCCAAACCCCACAACATGCCCCAGAATGAAACATCTATCTATCCTGTTCTCACAAACCTTTCAGCCTCGGAAAGACTTTCATGGCATTAGGCAAATTGTTTTCCAACCCAGGCCTTATTCTTAATTTGTGCCCTCCCTAAACCCCCATTTGCTTTCCTCTGGAATTATCACCAACCAAGTGATAACTAGTAGCTGTGTCACCGATAGAGCCAAATTCTATTATTAACATGTCTGTAAAAAGGTAATGTTTTAGTTCTTTCATGGCAATGACCAGGCCTCTGTGACCATAGTGGTCATACCACAGGGGAACGAAGAATCTGACTTAAGCTGGCCTGACTTAGAGAAACTATTTATTCCAAGTATATAGCTTCTAAAAGAGGGGTCTTGTTCATAAGATTAATCAATGAATTAATTGTCATAAATTTACCCTAAGAAACAAAGGCCTACAGCTGCTCTCACCAGTCCCAACTAAATTTGACACTTTAACATGTAAAAGCCAATTTCCAGCACTTTTTTTTGCTCCACAAGCACCATTTTAATGATATTTATACAAGAGTATCTGCTGTTGGATAAGCCATAGGTCTGGGAACAGAAATACCTTCTAAAAATCTGAGTCTATCTGGCAGCCTGCCATCAGATCATTCTAATTGCCTAACTATGAAGTGTTCTAATGGACACTGCATATAAAATTCTTTTTGCTAAGCTAAGATCCAAGAAAAGAAGGAGAGGACTAACCCAGGAGAGGCATCTTGCATCTTATTTAATTCTCAAAATAAACTTGTTAGATAGGCATCATTTTATAACTGAGGCTCAGTAAACTACCAAAGTTCACGTAGCTAATAAGCGTTTGTAGCAGAAATCCAGTTCCAGGTCTCTCAGGTGCCAAAGCACCACAGTACTGTCTCCAAGAAGAAATACCTGACGTTAGTTGGAATCCGGGTTAGGAATAAAAAAAAAAGACATCTCAAGCACCAATGTGTGGGACTGTGTAGAATCGAACAACGTAGGATCATTTCCCCAATCTCACTCACTTTACTCTCAGTCAAATTTCTCTGGGCTATAATCTCTTTATCGGCATAATGAGGCCAACCAAATACTTATTTTACTCGCTTTAGATCTGTTGTAAGGATCTAATGAGATAGTTTGTAAATGTAGTGGGGGTCATATATATTTTTATTAAAGTATAGTCAGTTTACAATGTGTCAATTTCTGGTGTACAGCATAGTGCCTCAGTCATACGTGAACATACATATGTTTGTTTTCATAATCTTTTTCACCCTAAATTACTTGATATTGAATATAGTTCTCTGTGCTATACAGTATGAATTTGTTGTTTATCTATTTTATATATATTAGTTAGTATCTGCAAATCTTGAACTCCTAATTTATCCCTTCCGACTCCCTTTCCCCTCATAAGTTTGTTTTCTATGTCTGTAAATGTGTTTTATAATAAATGTTTCCTCTTAATTGTAAAGCTTTGTGAGCCCCCCTCGGCCTAGAACCTTCTATCAAAATTCAATTCTCTGGGGGAGACCCAAGAATTCATCTGGGCTCTAAATGATTCTCTTTTACCATGAAAATGAAAACTGGATCCTATTTAATGAACTTTTCAATAAGTTGTTTACCAGCTTTTCTGTCAGGCACATATATATCTGCATACATAGAAATGTCATACATAGAAAGCAGCTCATATGCAGCAAAGAAATCTGATAGCTACTGTAATTATTCCTTCTCATATAAATGCATCAAGGGTTTTCTCAATATTGTTTGTTTTCATTGTTAGAAGTAAAATCTCTGTGCAGAGAGATTATGTGTGTACTTCATCCAGTGCATAAATTATTTTATTAATTAAATGATTCCTAAATTCCTACTTTGTTCCAAGCTCTATACTGGATTTTGGATCTACAAAGCAAAATAAGATACAGGCTCTCTGCCCTGAAGTGTCTCACAGTTGTGAAGGAAGAGGCCCTAAATAGCATGGGTAAATAAAAATGCTGTGGGAAGTGGGCAAAGATTTTTTCAAACAGGACCCAAAAAGAAATGATCATAAAGGAAAAGATCGATAAACAGAACTTACTTAAAATCAAGAACTGCTCTTAATCAAAAGACAGTAAGAGAGTGAAAACTACAGAAGGAAGAAACATTCATAATACATATATCTCACAAAGCTCTCATGCCTGGAATTACAAAGAACTCCTACAAGTAAAGAAAAAGACAAAGAACCAGTAAAAATCGGGCAAACGACTTGAGCAGGCACTTCTCAAAAAAGGATCTCCAAATGGCCAATCAGTATATGAAAAGTCACTAACTCATCAAGAAAATTCAAATTAAAACCACAATCAGACACTACTAAACACCTACCCAAATGGCTTAAATTTAAGATGTTGGTAAGAATGTGAAGCAACCGAACTTTCATACATCACTGGCAGGAGTGTAAATTAGTAGGCCCACTTTGGTTAACTGGCAATATCATTTGCCAAAATTAAACATTCACCTACCCTATGACCCAACAATTCCAATCCTAGGTATAATCCCTAGAAAAATTAGTGCATAGCTTCTCCAAAGGCATGTATAAGAATATTCATAGTAGCATCATTTATAACAGGCGAAAATTGAAAATAAATATCTATCAATAGCAGAATAGATTGTAATATGTCATACAATGGAATAAGAAAAAAGAATGAATTATATGATGGATGAATCTTACAGATATAAAATTGAGTGAAGAAAGCCAGACAAAAAAGAGCACACTATATGAGTCCATTTATATGAAATTCAAGAAATGCCAAAAGCTAATTGATGATAAAATTCAAAATGGAATATTTAACATTAGGATAGGGATAATGATGGGAGGGACATGATAGAACCTTTTGGGGATTTGGAGATATGCTATATCTTGATCTGTGTGGTGGTTACTCTAGGTGCACAAGTAACAATTCAAGTTTTATAATTAAGATTTATGCATTTTACTGTTTGTAATACCTAAATTAAAAAAAATTAAAATTTGGGAGCACAGAGAAAGAAGAGCATTAAAAACTGGGAGCATAGAGAAAGAATTGCCTGACTCTGAAGAAATCACAGAGGACTTCCATGGAGATGTTTGAACTGGATCTTGAATAGGAGCTTGTCAAAACAGGGTCACAGACCTCCCATGCAGAGAGTACCATGAAATGCTCAGCAATGTGGTGTGACTGTGGTACAAGAAGATGATGGCCTGAAGTGTGAACAAAAAATTAGAAGGCTAGTAAAGGAACCACAGCTAAGAGCAAAGTAAGGAAGGTGATAAGGAAAACTGATAGCCACTCTGCTCAGCACTGTTTTTCCAAAGAGCCCAAATTTTGCAGTGAGTGAAACAGATATGGGCTGCAAGTATTTGAAAAAGTGTTGCTGCTTGGGAAAGGAAGGAAGATAGGGTATTTCTCACGGGTGCATCCTCTGACTCATTAAGGCATTTTAGCTCACGAGGCCATGCCTCCTGGTTCCTTCTTTTGGGTCACATGAAAATGAGCAGAGGATGGGTCATCAGGAGAGGGCTCTCTAGGTAGAGGAAAGCTCCTTCCATGGAAGCCTGTAGGCAGCGGTGTGGGGGCACACATGCACACACACACACACACCCGGGTGACCTCCACATATATACAGCGCCTCCCTGGCCCTCCCGAGCAGTCCTGACAGAGGAGCCTCTGGTCCAGCCCTGCAGGAATCCCAGCTGGGGCCACAGGAGTACGGGCCCACTCTGAACACGGAGCCATTCTCCACATTCTTTCTCTTCCACCCTGATTCTTGCCACTGGATGCAGGTAAGCAGAAATGAAAGGGCCCAGTGAAGGGAAGGCCAGGGAATAGTTTAGCCTAGCAGTTCAGAGCACAAACTTCCAACTCAAAGGAGACCTGGCTCAGGCACTGAGCAGCTATGTGACTTCAGTTTGTTTAATTTCTCTCTGCTTCAGTCTGTCAACTCCAGGTCCTTACACATGCTTAGAATACTTTTCCTTTCCCAGCACTGCCTGTCTAATGCCTTGTTGTCAAGTTTTAGCTTGGACAACACTTCCTCCAGGAGGCTCTGCCTTGCTTCTGCAAGCAGGATTAGGCAGTCCTCTGGGTGCTTCCATCACACCTTCAGTTGGACAGTTCTTGTCACTTGCTTATTCTTTGGTTAGTCTCCCCACCAGAATTTAAGTTCCTCAAGAGAAGAGGCTGTCTCTGATTCACCAGAGTGAATACTGCCTGGCAGACAGTGGTCACTTAATAAATGTATGACTGATGAAAAAATGATAAAAGCCTGGCTAGGTGATGAGTGAGGTAGAGAGACACAGGATTTGCAGTCTCTTCCTCCATGTGACTTAGCAGATCACTTAAACTGTTGCCGAGACATGTAGCTAATGGTTTCTTTACCCAGCCAGGATCCCAGGTTAGAACAGGGCCTCCCCTAGAGCCTGGTTGTAAGGTTTTACCTTATGATCCTGCCTGTCTCTTCCGATATCGCATTAGCCAAACTCTCTGCGAATCTCCTGGCTCACATTTATGGAAACATTTCTCAGAGTGGGTATGATTTCCAGGTGAACAAAGTCAGGGAGAGGAAGTGAAATTCAAACTGAGCCACAGCCGTTCGGGATGGAGCAGCACAGCAAGTGCTTTTAGTAGAATGTGAGCAGGACAGTCAGGATTCTCTGAACACTATTCCTCCTAAAGGCCATGCTCAACTGCTTCATTTTCTCTCTGCATGCTCATATTTTTAAATTTCCCTTCTAAAACTCTTTCTTGATAGGAAAAATTTCCATGGAGGAGATCGTCAGAGGGGTTCATGTTGGTGATCTATGTCTAGACAGGCCTTTACTCACAGGTAGAATGATTCAAAGTCCTCTGAAGGCATTCCTGAACAAAAGCTTTTCCTAGCGGGCCGTCTAGAGTAATTCAAAGCCCGACCACACACTTGTCATCTGGGAGGAGTGTGGGTTAAAGTTGTTACTTGCCAACACCTTGGATTGGTTAATTCACCCCAGCATGGAGACACACGCTGAGAGCCCTGCATTCAGTGGCTGGACATTCTGGGAAGGGAGGCTGCATCACACGCTGTGGGGAGGATATTTATCACACAGGTACCCTGCCTCCCAACAGCAGGGCAGGCTCCTCACCCTGAGGACCTGAGGAGAGGGCAGTCAGTACCATATCAGTATCATCGGAGACCTACTTCAAGAAAGGAGGCTTCTGTGGTGGGGCACTGAAGGAGGGCAGGAGAAGGAACACACCATCCCTCCTGATCCCTGGTGCCTACCATTCCATCCTTGGTGTAAGAGCCACCGTCCTCCATATCCTACCCCCAGCTTTTCCGTGTGCCCCCTCCTCAGAGATCTGAACTTCCTTTCATCAGGGATAAGTTATTTTATTCACTGTGAGAAACATGGCTTAGAGAGCAAATACCCTGTGGAGAGGGAACAGAGTGAAGGCCACTAATGCCACTAAAATATTAGCAATTGCAGCAGGAAGTTCCCTGCTAGGAGGAGCAGCAGAGATGAGTTTGGACTCTGAGATTTGGGGAAGTAAAGATCACCAAGGGATGCAGGAATGCGGAATGGGGGTGGGCAGGAGCATACACTCCCCCCTCCCCCCACCAAATCGCCCACTGAAAGCTGTATCTGACACAGGTCCCTGTATAAGCTGTAGTCTGGATAGATAAAAATCCCTAGGCTAATCAAGTTTTTATTTCCAAAGAGGCTGTACTACTTGAATTCTCACCATCTATCTGCGAGAGTTCTAGTTATTCCATGTTCTCAACAATACTTGGGATAGTCCAGCTTTTTAACTAACAATTCCAGTTGGTGTGTAGTAGGATCCTACTTTGGTTTTAATTTGCATTTCCCTATATTAGTGATGTTGAATGTCTTTTCTTAGTCTTAGTTGTCATCCATGTATCTTTTTTGTGTGTGTGTGAGATGTTTTGTGTGTGTGTGAGATGTCTGTTTAAATCCTTTTCCCATTTTAATTATTATTATTTTTTTTTTGGTGGGGGGAGGTAATTAGTTTTACTTATTTATTTATTCTTAGAGGAAGTACTGGGGATTGAACCCAGGACTTCATGCATGCTAAGCATGCACTCTACCACTTGAGCTATACCCTCCCCCTTTTTTCCCATTTTAAAAATCAAATTGCTTGTCTTCTCATGGTAGAGTTCTAAGAGTTCTTTATGTATTCTGGATACAAGTCCTTTGTCAGATGTATACATATTCACAGTCACATACATATTGATAAAATATATATTGTGAATATTTTCTCCCAGCCTGTGGTTTGTCTCTTCATCTTCTTAATGCTGTCTTTTGAAGAGAAAAAAATTTTAATTTTGAAGTAGTTTAATTTATCACTTTTTATAGGTTGTACGTTTTGTGTTCTATCTAATCAATCTATATCTAAGATTCCAATGATTTTCTCCTTTGTTTTTTTCTAAAAATTTTATTAGGTTTAAGTCTATGTTAATTATTAATTTATTGTTAATTATTGAATATGGTTTGTAGCAATAGGCAAAGTATATATTTTTGTTTTGCATATGGATTGTTCCAGTGTCATTTATTGAAGAGACTATCCTTTTCCCACTAAAATAACATCTTTTTCAAAAATCACTTGATCATATGCATGTAGATCTATTTCTGAATTCTCTAGTCTGTTCTAGTTGTCTGTATGTTTGTATACACCATTTCTTCACTGTCTTGATTACTATAGCTTTATAATGTCTTAAAATCACATAATGTAAGTCCTCCAACTTTGTTCCTTTTTTTTTCAAAATGTTTTGGCTAATCTAGGTCCTTTGCATTTTAATATAAATTAGGATTCAGCTTGCCAATTTCTAAACAAAACCCTGCTAGGATTTTGACTGAGATTGCATTGAATCTGTGCTTCGCTTTAGAGAGAACTGACATGTTAATGATATTGAGCCTTTTGATCCATAAACATGGTATGTCACTCTGTTTCTTTAGTTCTTCTTTAACTTTTTCTCAGCAATGGTTTATAATTTTTAGTGTACATGTCTTGCACATAATTTGTTAAATTTGTCCATAACTATTTTTATTTATATGCTATTGTAAATTATTTTTTATTTTTATAACTTATTATTGCTTATATATAGAAATACAATAACATTTTTGTATATTTTTAATTCAATAAACTTGCTATACTCACTCATTAGTTCTAGTAACTTTTTGATAGATTCCTTACAATTTTCTATGCAGATGATCATGTTACCTATGAATAATGGCAATTATTACTTCTTTCTTTCATATCTGTGGCTTTTGCTGCTTTTTATTTTCTTATACTGGATAAGGCCTCCTGTACAATGCTGAATGGAAGTGGTGACAGTGGACATCTTTAAAATGACATCTTTTAAAGCAAGAAGATGACATCTTTAATATTTAGTTTTTCTGTATCAAATAGAAATAATCTGCTGGTAATAGAGGTGCAAGCAAATTATGATGGGATGAGGACGGGATGTGTGTGCGTGTGAGTGAGTGGAGGTTGGTGGAAAATAGGGTAAATCCAATCCACTAGGGAATATTTGTAAGAGGTAGAGTTTTTAAGCGAGTTCCTTGGCTCTTCTTGATCTGACCCTGGGAAATGACAGGGTCTGTTGTCTATTTCCTCTACCCGACCCTATGCTCCAGGGGTTCCTCTACCCACAGCTCACAGTGTCCACAAAGCGAACATGACCCTCCTTCCATTGGTTCCAGGACTGTATCCTCTCCCCGCACAATGGCATGCTCACGGACCTGCTCCCGCATCCTGGGGCTGAGCCTTGGGACTACAGCCCTGTTTGCTGCTGCAGCCAACACAGTGCTCCTCTTTCCTAACTGGGATGTGACCTACCTGTTGAGGGGCCTCATTGGCAGGCATGCCATGCTGGGCTCTGGGCTCTGGGGAGGAGGCCTCATGGTAAGTGTCTGGGTTCACTGGGTGTGAACTCCCAAAGTGCCCCTCAGGGGTGGAGCAGTGAGCTCAGAGTGGGGACTGTTTTGATTCCTCATAGAAAAGTTTGAACAAGCTGATCCTGCGTCTATAGCAGCAGTCTTCTATAGAAGACTCTAGGAAGTCTGGTCAAAGGTTACTGAATTTTGGACTAGGCAGGCTGGGTATGAACATTGTCATCCACAGAGTCACATCAAGCTAGTTATCCAAAATTGTCCTGCTAGGCAAAGCCAAACCCTCTGGGAAAGATAGGATAATTAAGTCCATGTGGAGTATCCAACCACTCTATTTCAACTGCCATAGATGGCAGCTAGAAATGTAAATAACCCTATCTCTTCTTAACCCTCTTCTCTCTTCACCCAGGTCCTCACTGCAGCTACCCTCATCTCCTTGATGGGCTGGAGATATGGCTGCTTCAGTAAGAGTGGGCCCTGCCGAAGCGTAAGCACTTCTAATACCTAAAATGTCCCCACATTCTATTACTTTAGAGACGGAATGGTAAAGAGGAAATTTCAGTCTTAGGGTTTGAAGTCAGATCCTGACCATACCCTTCAGAAACTCTAAACTCTTGGGCAAGTTTTCTCAACTTCAGGTCCTTATCTATAAAAATATGAGTGAACAAGATCAAGTCAAGGGAGTAAGTGCTTAATGAACTATAAACATAAACACAGATGTGAGGTTCTTATTGTTAGTTTTAGCTTATTGAACAATATGGGTATGAGTCATGTGTCACTGATAGAAAATTTCCTGGCTCCTTTGCTTAATTTTTCTTAGAGCTGGAAGTTTCTCCAGAGATCATGTAATAACTAGATTCTAGTCTAACCTCTCCATTTAACTGAGGCCCAGAGTAAATTTGCATTTTATTAATTATAGCAGCATCTATATATTTGATAAAAATCTCAGTACATAAATGTATAAAATATATTGCTCATTCAGTCCCAGACACATGAAATTTGTGGCCTCCTTACTGTAACTCTGCAGCCTGCTTTGATATCTGCAGCCCACATGTTGGGAACCCCACTGATTCAGAATCGTATGTTAAAGAATTAAATAAAAACACCCACACATTTCATTCACTCTCTGTTCTCTGTCAACGTCTAGTTTTCCCCTAAGCAAGTGGTTCTTAGACTTACGTGCGTGCATCAGAGTCCCTGCAGGGTTTGTTAAAACACAGATTGCTGGGCTCCACCCCTAGATTTTCTGACTTAGTAGGTCTGGGGTGGGAAAATTTGCGTTTCTAATTAAGTTTCAAGTGATATGATATTCCTAGGACAGGGACCACATTCTGAGTACCACTGTCCTAGGCTTACCTCAGACTAATTCATCCTGAATCTTTTAACTTAGAGTTAATACTTTCTATGCTCGTTTCTGTGGCCCTTCCCAAGTTCCAAACCAGCTTGACATCAGTGGGAAATGACTCTATGATTCTGTATACTAACTATATATACATATGTATATGTTTTATTTAAATTTTAAAAATATGTGTTCTTTAGGAAGGAGAGAAAAAAATCTAGTATCCTGAGAAAGAGACCAATTTGGAAGTTAGAATCCTGCCAAGAAATAAACACATTGTTATATTTTGGGAGGGAAGTGAATGGTGTACAGACTAGAAAAGTACAGTGACAGAACTGGAATCATTTCAGAGTTGACTGTAATTTCTCTGTCTCTTTCTCTTTCTCCCTTCCTCCCTTCCTTCCTTCCTTCCTTCCTCCCTTCCCCCATTCCTCTCTTCTTTCTTTTCATGCTTGATTTGAGAAAGAGAGAAGTTAGGGATGGCAACTTGGAATTTTGGAAAAAATACAGATTTCCCATAAAAAGTTCAGAGGTGGGCTTGCAACAACAAATACCACCGTTTAATGCAGAGGCTGAAAGGCTGCAGTCTGTAAAAGTTATTGATGCCAATCTGCTGAGATGCTCAGAAGAGCCTGCTGAATCAGGCTGAGCCTGCTGCCGGGTCCAGGTGCCAGTGTTTCCCCCTTCTCTGCCCTTCTCTCCATCCCTTCCTGGCTCTACCCAGCCAACCCCTCATCAGCCAACCCTACCCTGGTTCTGCTTTATAGGAGGTGCTGTGGGTTGGATTATCCCCATGATGGGGAAAGCCTGAGCACCAGAGAAGTTAGACTTGGCCAGATCGCCCCAACAGTTACTTAGCCACGATCCCATCTCAGGCTCACTGTTTCATCTGTCCATCTGCAGATGCTTACTGTTCTGTTGTCAAGTGGCCTGGCTTTGCTTGGAGCCTTGATTTGCTTTATCAATTCTGGAGTAGCTCTGAAAGATGGTCCCTTTTGCATGTTTGATGTCTCATCCTTCAATCAGACACAGGCTTGGAAGTATGGTTACCCATTCAAGGACCTGCATACCAGGTAAATGGATAGAAATTTGGATTTGCATTCTCTTCAGAGAGAGAAAGACACACCAATGGCCACACATTCTATCATCTTGCTTCTCTGTTGCTCAGAAGATTAAAAATGCAGCAACAGTAGTCACTCTCAAAAGTCTAGTGCTACAACCTGAGCTGAGGGACAACCCAGTTTTCTACTGAGGTTGGTGGGGCTTTTCTTACTTATTCCTCAACCCCTGGTCTCCTTATTTTTGAGGATAGGAATTATCTCTATGACCATTCACTGTGGAACTCTGTCTGCCTGGAGCCTTCTAAAGCTGTTGTTTGGCACGTATGCTTCTTCTCCGCCCTTCTGTGCATCAGCCTCCTCCAGATTCTCCTGGTGGTCATTCATTTCATCAACAGCTTCCTGGGCCTTTTCTGCAGCCTGTGTGAGAAGTGACAGGTAATGTCCTCTCATATATGAGTGTTTTCATCATTAGCTGCCTTGAATCCTTTCTGCCAGTAGTGGGTATGAGTTACAAACAAACTTCCCTTTTAGGTAATCATGTGGTAATCATAACAATAATAATTTCCTCCATGTGTGTTGAATGATACAATGCATTTTAAGTCACACTGTAAACTGCAAGGTGATATAGTAATAGAATAATTAATTAAGTCAATATTATTGTTTAGGAACTTATAATCCATAAAATGTCCTCCAGTCATGATCTTGTTTCATCCTCTCAACAGCCTCATGAAATTGACCACACGTTACAGATGAAGTCAAGGCTCCCAGAGAATACTGGACTTGCTGTCTAAAAGCACTCAAATAGGTTCAGGTAAAGTCAGTACCTGAGCAGCTACCTGCTAAATTCAAGTTCACTAGTCTTTATGGACTGAACTGTGTGCCCTCCAGATTCATAGGTTGGACCTCAATCCCCAATGTGACTTTGGAGATAGGACCTTTAAGGAGCTAATTAAGGTTAAATGGAGTCATAAGGGTGGGACCCTAATCTGGTAAGACTGGCATCCTTATAAGAAGAGGTTGAGAAAACAAGTACAGGAAAAGATGCTCAGCATCACTAATCATCAGGGAAATGCAAATCAAAACCACAGTAAGGTATCATCTTATACCTGTTAGAATGGCTATTATCAAAAAGGCAAGAAATAACAGGCAAGAATGCTGGTGAGGATGTGGAGATAATGAAACCCATGTGCACTGTTGGTGGGAAAATAAATTGGTGGAACCACTGTGGTAAACAAACGGAGGTTCCTCAAAAAATTAAAAAAGAACTACCATATGATCCAGCAATTCCACTTCTGGGTATTTAGCTGAACAAAACAGAAACACTAATTCTAAAAGATATCTGTACCCTCACATTCAGTGCAGCATTATTTTCAATAGCTAAGCTATGGAAACAACCTAAGCATCCATCAGTGGATGAATGGATAAAGAAGATGTGGTATACACACAGACACACACACACACAACATGGATGGACCTTGAGGGCGTTATACTAAGTGAAATGAGTCAGGCAGAGAAAGACAAATATCGTATGATCTCGCTTAATGTGGAATTTAAAACAACAAGACTAAGTTCATAGATACAGGGAAGACTGCTGGTTGCCAGAGGCAGGGGGTGGAGGGGGTGAGAGAAATGGGTGAAGGGGGTCAAAAGGCACAAACTTCCAGTTATAAAATAGTTAATTCCTGGGGATGTAATGTCCAAATGGTGACTATAGTTAATAATATTGTATTGTACATTTGAAAGTTGCTAAGAGATCTTAAAAGTCCTTATCACAAGAAAAAATATTTTGTAACTATATATAGTGACAGATGTTATTGTGGTGATCATTTTGCAATAGATACAAATATTGAATCATTATGTTGTACACCTGAAACTAATACAATGTTATATGTCAGTTATACCTCAAAAAAAAAGTAGGATGTGTTTCCAGAATAAATAAAAGCATGATTAAGTTTTAGAACATTTATTCACCTATATTAATAGATTTAAAAAGGGAAAATCCTATGATTTTCTTCATAAATGCTGAAAAGGTATTTGATAAAATTCAACATAAATTCTTGATAAAACTCTTAATAAAATGAGAAAAGATGGGTACCTCCTTGTCTTAATACAACACATGTATCTCAACCCAAAAGTCAGCATCATGCTTAATGAAGGAATACTAGAAACAATTTCATTAGAGTTGCAAATAAGACAATGACACTCACCATCATTATTACCATTTAATATTGTTCTTAAGGTATTAGCCCAAGCAAGTGTTCAAAAGGAAATTTATAGATATAAAATTGGAAAGGAGGTAAAGATATTGTATGCAGGCAATATGATTACACATGTAGAGAACCCAAATTAATTATATTACAAACAAGAGAATTACATAAGTTGTATGGGTACAAAATAAATACATGGAACAAAAAAATCTTCATATACACAAACAAGCAGTTAATAGATATGGAGATGGGGAAATCCTATTTACATTAGAAACAAAGAAGAAAAAAACCTAGTTAAAATATAACGAGTTAAAATACTTACTGAGGAAAACTTTACAATATTGCTGAAGGACATAAAATAAACTTGAACAAACATAACAGCTTATTATGAACTTGGATAGGAAGAGTTAAACATCATAAAATGTAAATGCCCTTAAGCTAATCTATACATTTTTTTCATTTTTTGTTCTTATTTTTTGTTTTTTCCTTCTTTTTTTATTTTTAGTTTTTTCTCTTTTCTTGTTATTTTTGTTTATAAATTTAACATGATTAATAAAATCACCAATGAGATTTGGTGGAAAAGGGTATGGCATTAGATAAGCTAGTTCTAAAGCTTACATGAGAAATGAACAATCTAAGAGAGCCAAGAGGTAAGGTGGGATTTCTGAAGAAGCAGGCAGTAGGTGGGACTAACTCTGCTAGATAATGAAACCAAATATAAAGCTACAGTAATTGTAACAGTGTGGTACATTAAACGGACAGACAAATTTATGGAACAGACCAGGGAGTCTAGAGATAGAAATGAGTATTTGTGATTATTTACTGCATGCTAATAGATGAGGGTGGGAGATTGAGATACCAGCTCTCCCTCTCCACGGGAGCACAGAGGAAAAGGCCATGTGAGGACACAATCAGAAGGTAACCAACTGCAAGCCAGGGAGAGAAGCTTCAGTAGAAACCAACCTGTTTGGCACCTTGATTTTGGATTTCCAGCCTCAAGAAAATAAATTTCTGTTGTTTAAGCCACCCAGTCTGTGGGATTTTGTTATGGTAGCCTGAGCTGACTAATCCGCCATTGTTCTTTCCATTAGTGTTCAGTTCAGTTCAGTAAGTGGTATATACTGAGGACCCTCGGCACTGCCGTACACTGTGAATTCAAAAATGACCAAGATATGGTCCTTGCCCTTAGACCCTGCCCTGTCCTTGAAAAGCTCATGGTCAGGTTAGGGAAACAAATCTACCGATAATTTAAATGTCATATGGTAAGGGCCATGTTAGAGGTCCACACAGGGTGTAATGAGAGCTCTGAGGAACACGGAACCTCTAAAGAGAGGATTTATGATACATAAAGGAAGGCTTCAGTTGTATCTGAACTGATTCTTTAAATAGCCCAGCAAAGAGGGAAGGAAGTGTTTTCCCAGCAGACACTCAGAAACACAGAGGGGAGGCACAAGAGGGTTTTGCTGGAGAACTGTGATGCCACAGCTGCTTCAATGTGGAATCTGGAAAGCAGAGAACCTCCCTCTCTCCCACTTGGGGATCTTTGGTCAGGATAGATATTGGGGGAATTAATTTTCTTAGTTTTTGAAGCTGGCAAGCTTGCGGTGAAGGTAAGTACAGTGTATATTGCAGGGCACCAAGCAAACAGAATGGGCAGCTAGTTCTCAAAAGATCCAAATTCCCCAATGGCTTTCAGAGAGACAGTAGGAGTCAGAGTCACAGGGTGCCTGATCAGCTTCTGGACATTCTTCTGATTGGTTAGTGATGTGGTGGTGATATGGTGAAGTTTCAGGAATCTCATTCAACTCTCTGGCTCCAGCCTAGGTCTATGTGTTTGTGGTCAGCAGTTTCCACGTGGTGGGGTGCTCCTTTCTGTAAAAATAACTTAAGAAAAGAGGAGTCCTATAACTACTATTTAAATTATTACTTTTCTTGCTTGACTGCTTTTCCTTTTCTCTTGCTTTTCCAGTTTTCTAATCATTAACTGCTTGAGTCTATTCTTTGGAACTCCAGCCGCCTAGAAGACTAAAGCTTTTTTTTTTTTAACAAGTAAGAAGCGGAGAACACAGAGGGTCACCAAGAACTCCAGCGAAGTACAGCTCAGTTCCACTGCCGCTCACTACCTGTGTATCCTTGGGCCTCTATGGGCCTCAGGTTCCCTGCCAACTTCCTACGGTTGCAGCACGTTAATAAGAGCTGACGCCTGTTGAAGTACTTTGTAAACCAGAAACAAATCAGTTTTCACCTACTTATGGTCACTCTGGCTTGGCCAGTTCCGGTCCAGGAGCGCGTGCGCAGGCGCGTGGGGGCGTAGGGGGGGGTGAGAGCCCCGGAAAAGGGCGGGCCGCACGGCGCAGAGCGCGCGGCCGCGTCACGTCAGGGCCTTGGGCGGCCCAGTCGCCCTGGCGACGGTTTCCCAGGTCCGTGCTTCCCCCGCGGGCTAAGCCTTCTTCGCGAGGGGCCAAGAAGCTTAGGCCATGTCGGTCACGGCGTCCTTCTCGGCGGTCGATGGGTTGCCCGATACTGAGAAGAACCCTGGGGAGTCCGAGAATACCTATATTCTGCGGCCCATTTTCCAGCAAAGGCGGGTAGCGGACGGGCTGTGGCGTGGGCGACCTGAGAAACTGCCGCTTCCTGCGGGCAGAGCTCGCCTACTAACCTGGGGATAGGGAAGGAGCGCGCTAGGGGCCG